TGGAAGTAGGATTGCCCAACCTTCCTTCTGAGGAGTGGCTGGTGGGTTTGAACCGCCAGCCGTCTGGTTAGCAGGCAAGTGTCTTAGCCACTATGATACCAGAGCTCCCAATAACAGTGCCCAATGACCCTTGCTACCTGAGATATATAAGGAGCCCTTATGAATGTGGTGCAATAGTTAAAGTCTTGGCTGCTAACTGAAAGGCTGGACATTCAAGCCCACCCAAGCTGTTCCACAGGAGAAAGATCTGGCAATCTGCTTACGTAAGGTTACAACTAACAAAAACCCTATGGCACAGTTCTACTCTGTCACGTGAGATCACTATGAGTCAGAACTGACTCAACGGCATACAACGACAACAACATGTAGACTAACTCCCACAATGAATCGGACTGTACAAAACAAGTACAGTGGTGGTGATAGTAAGACTTCTAAGCTACTGTGGCTTCTGCCTTGGGCTCTTGGATTGCTCACTCTGGGAAGCCAGTTGCTATGTCAAGAGAACATTAGAGCAACCCTGTGGAAAGGTCCACTTGGAGAAGAACTGAGGTCGTATCGTAGAAGCAGACCTGCCACCCTTGGAAATCCTTTAGATAACGAAAGCCCAAGCCACAATAGCTTGAGCACAACCTCATGAGATACCCCGATTTAGAATGGTATATCTAAGGCACTCTCAAATTCCTGATCTACAGAATCTATGAAAGATAATAAGTGTTCATAGTTATTATTTGTTTTAAGCCACTAAATTTCAGGATACTTTGTAATGTGTTATGGCTGTATGCCATCAAGTCAATTCTGACTCATAGCAACTCCAGGTGACAGAGTAGAACTGCCCTATAGCATTTCTTAGGCTGTAATCTTTCTTCAATGGAGCTACTTGCAGATTGGAACAAATGACTTTTTGGTTAGCAGGCAAGCACTTAACCATTGCACCACCAGTAATAGGTAAATAACACAGTAATAGGTAAATAACCAATGCAACAAATAGGAATATTGATAGTAACAGCTAATATGTATTAAGAACTTTTCATGCTTCTAAGTACTTTACAAAAATATTGAATTTAGTCTTAGAGCAGTCCTACCAGGTAAGTGATATTATCATTCCCACTTAACAGAAGAGAAAACTGAGGTATATAAAGAGAAAAAATACCTTGCCCAAAGTCACATATCTGGCAAGTGATAGAGCCAGGATTCAAACTCAGCCAAGCTCCAGAGCACTTCAATACCTTCCATGTCTTCAAGAACATGGAAGTATTTCCAAATACTGTTGTTGTTAGGTGCCATCCAGTTATTTCCCACTCATAACAACCCTATGTACAATAGAATGAAACACTGTCTGGTCCTGCGCCATCTTCACAATCATTGCCATCACTTGACCCCACCTCCCCTTTATTTCTGACCCTCTAGTTTACCCAGCATGATATCCTTCTCCAGGGACTGGTCACTTCTGACCAAAGTATGAGAGATGAAGTCTGGCTATTTTCACTTCTGAGGAGCATTCCAGCTATACTTCCTCCAAAACAGATATATTTGTTCTTCTAACAGTCCATGTTGTTGTTGTTGTTGTTGTGTGCCATCCAGTCATACCTGACTCATGGCCCCTCCTTGGGTTTTCGAGGCAGTATCACTACGGAAGTAGATTGCCCAACCTTCCTTCTGAGGAGTGGCTGGTGGGTTTGAACTGCCAGCCTTC